GATTCAGCCATATCCTCTTCTCTTGTAATCTTTATCCTCACGTCGTAACGTTACCGACCTCTGCCTATTTTATCCGATACTTCCATGGAGAATGCTCAGATGAAATCCTCTTCCCCTCGTTCCCCCTGTTTCGGTCCCCGCCCGTGTAACCAGAAAGAGTACCAAGCAGCATCCCTACTCTGTCCAACTTTCCTCCAATCGTACTGCTCAAATCGCCTCCACCTTTTTTCCCCGTACATCCCGTCTATGGAATGCCCTTCCCCCTCATGTCTTCCCTCCAACGTACGATCCGAAACTCTTCAAATCCAACACTATCCGCTCTCTCCCTTCAGGTAAAGAGCCATAGGTTTTTTTAGTGGGTATAATGTACATGAGCCCCACACTCCGGTTGAATTTTCCACTCTTCTGGGTAGTGCGTCAATGCATTTTTTCCTATGGCTCTTTCATCTTTTCCTCCTAGCTTCCCCCAGTCCCCCTCCCCCTTTTCGCACTCGCAGTTCCTTTTGAGAATTATAGGGTCATCCCTTTGCGAGCTGCTTCACCAAAAAAAAAAACCGGCGGTAGGAAAGGGATACTTTCGCTCAGGAGGGTGAAATCACAATCATTCTCTTCAAGCGGGAAAACAAGCTATTTCGATCTTGACTTCTGCTGCCATGAAAGCCGCGAACGCAACACTACTCGAGCACAAGTTTCCGGCATGTGAATCCCACGAGATATTTTCGGAAGAGTATCTCGAATGTCTCGTCCGACACCATTCTTTCAATATATTCCACCCGTGTTGCACCTGCAGGATGGGACGACCTGATGACCCGCTCGCTGTAGTCGACCACAGGCTAAAGTGAGTAAGAAGTGATTGCTTTGAGTGGTCAAAATCTGCGGCAGCCCCAATCGAGTTAATAGATAGGAATCTTGCTAATATTTCAACTCCTCCCAAGGGTCCACGGTCTTGAAAAACTCAGAATCGCCGACAACTCGATAATCCCAGAGATTCCCTCTGGTCACCTGAATGCCCACGCGATTTTGATCGGACACAAAGCCGGGAACTTCATCTTGGAAGATTACGCAATGGCAGCGAGAACGGAGCTATAGAGCTCAATGATTGTTAGAGTCGAGTTGCATAGAATGGGATCCTCGTAATCAAGTCTCCCATACTTCAAAGCCAAGCTATCGCTCTGGAGCGATCTCTTGTGATGAGCACAAGTTGTCGGCGACAGCTGCAAGACACGGCTCCATGGATTTCGAATCGCCTCCAGGAATCTTATGTGTATGACGATAAACCTCCATGAATGGAAAGATGAATTCCGACATGATTCAAGAATTCGAGCCGATGATCCCTGTTCTGTTTGAAAAACTTGAGAGAGTCGAGAGGAAACGGAAAGAAAAATCTCGAACGAGCCGGAACACGTGCCTCGGGGTGCGGATCCGAGGGCGCCGACTTCGCCCGTCATGATGACGAATCGGCGCCCCGAGACTTCATCCTACGGCCGAGATTCTTACAAATTGATTCAGGCCGGGGCTGAAGGCTCTGGATTAGCTAATCACACTAGCTTGAAGATTGCTTGCGGGGAACTTCGATTCTCGCGGCCATGATTGACACGCTCTCAGACTCTAGGGAATACCCTCACGTCGCCGAAATTCGCGATTCGCGAAAAACTCCCTGCCCTCCCCATGATTTATTCAACGCAGTATAAGAAGGGAATTTCGCGTGGGTGGATTCTTTCTTTTAAGTACGAACAGGAGATGTAATCGAATCCGAGAAAAGTCCAAGATCGGAATTCCTCCGCCGACGATTCGACCCATTTAACAAAGCGCTGTAAGAAAGCGCGGATCTGGCAGTTTTCTTCCCGCCGATTTTCTGGAAACTACCGTCGCATCGCCTTCGTTTCAGGGAGTAAACGAAGAATGCTGGGACTCAAGTCTCGCGTCTCGCATCATACTTCGATAGCTTTTGAAGCAAATCTTTGCGATCGAATATTCAGAATTTCCGTATTGACAAAAACGGCGTTACCTTCAGATTTGACGGCTCTCTCCATAGCCCCACCAGGAATGTCTCGGGAGCTGGATCCAAATAGATCGAATTCCGGAGAAGCACTGCGGATCGACGTTTCCGGAGCCGCAGAAACTAAGTCTTGCCGTCCCATTGACGGAAGTTCATGTCGTCGGGTAAGTGTCAGGATCAGCTCCGTCTCACGAGGGATTAATTGCGACTTCCTAAGCGCTCGGTGGCGACGTCTCCGTTGACAAGAGCTAACTTAGCCGAATTACTCGGTGGACGAAGCCGTGTTTTTTGTTTCCTGAATTTTGAGGGGCGCTGTTCGCCATGAGGCAGGACGCGGAAGGCACGGTCGTTCGAACTGCTGTCCAACGTTCTCAATGCGTTGAGGTAATTGCGCTGGAACCGCTCCACTCCAGAATCACTGCCTTCACCAAGGAGCCAGCCGAGCGAGCTAGCAGGCTGAGCGAGAGGCTATCCTTCCCAATTTCCATACTCTTATGCAGAGATCATTCGTCGGGCTCGGAGGGCTTTCCCCCTAAGACGACGCAAGCTCCTGAGCGGTTCCGCTCGGGCACTCGCTTGGGTCATCTGACTGAGCATCAAGCTTCGAAAGTTCAATCTTCTGCGATGAGCCGCGGAACAGGAGTCCAGGCTGAGAATATTAAGTTTTGCTCCTCTATCGTGATCGTTAGTGGGGAAGATTCCATCTCGAATCCGAGATCCAGAGAACGCCCGAATGGTAGATATTCGAAGACGAGATCGGGGTCTTCTCACATTGCGTGGATTCAATTAGTTTAGGGGTTCGAGTAAGGTTCGAACGTTCAGCCGGGAAACTTCGAGCGGGCCGACAGCCTCGCAGAAGTCCTCCTCGTGACGGTGTTGTCTATGCACTTTTTCGAGAACCTCTTCCTCTGCCTCGCACAAGCATGCCGAAGGAATACAGAGTAGATGGAACCCATGGATTCGCTCTATTTATCCGACGATATCACAAGCAGCTCGCCGGTTCAGTCAGAAGTCAGAAAGATGTCATCAAACACGGCGCGTTCGTCTAGAGTCTAGACAATTCGTTCTGACTTTTGACTTTGGGCTCCCCTAAATCTGTTTCTGACAGCGTTTCTTGCGTCTTTCTCGGCGAGCAGCTTTTTGTCGCTCGAGGGCGAACGCTCCGTTTATGGCTCCAACTAGGGGTGTACTCTCCAAAAAAAACACGGAATTGTGATGAAGAATTCCCTATGGATTCGGTCGGGATGTTTTCTGCTTCTTCTTCAGCGCAGACCGTCGAATTCCTCCATCTTAAAACACGACAGAGCCATTCTCCGCAGAAATTACAAATGGAAGACTTATTGTGCATTATTTTCACTTTATAAACAGAAAATCCATTGTCTTCCTCAGCGCCAGCGCAACTTTATCGTGTCCACAGCGACATCTTCAGCGTCGTGTTTGGTTCTCTCTGAGAGGCCGAGCTTTGGAGGGAAGACTATAGCGATTCTTGAATCAATGCGAGTCTCTGCTGCTTGAGTTCTCCGAAAGCTTTTCCGAATCGTGATTTCGATTGCGATCTCGCTTATCACCGGCTTCCGACTGGAGCGAAGCCCGAGAAATCCTCCCCGTCGAACGGATTCCAGCATAAGTGAAAGTTTCTGCTCACTAGAGGAATAAAATAAAGAGTAACCTATCTTGTGCCCAGCGACTCTCGAGCATCTCGTCGATCAGGTGCGCTCGTTGCTCTCGAGCGATGCTCTCCCGTCGCAGACACAATTATTCTTGGGGATGTGTTCAATTGTCGAGTCGCCTCATCCGCCTGCACGAATCAGGCCATACATCATACGGAGCCCCGGCAAATATCTATCGGGCCGAAAGCTGGTGGCTTAGGATTAGCGAGGAATCGTTTCCAGGAACTTATTCGGAAAAATGACTTTCATCTTCAGCGAAGTTCCATCTTTGACGCGGGGTCGTCACTCGTCGAATTCAGAATCGATTTCGAATGATTCGGAAGAAAGAAAAATTGGTTTACTTATGTTTGCGACATGTCTTTGGGAGGAAATTATTGTTCCTCACGACTAGTCTGTAGAAGATTCTGAGATATTGATACTATCTGAATCCAATACGAGGAGGTGTCGCTGATCCTCTCCCTCTGCGGCGAGGCTCCGAACGAGCCTCGCCGTAACAGGTAATTTAATCCCATTCCGATGTGCTAGGTACCCCTCATATCAAGCGTCACATGTCACATCGGACGCGAATAACCTCCTCATACAGCTTGGAAACGATTGCGAGTGGTGACATCACGGACGATCGTTCCCTTCCCAGTCGCAATCGTGTTGAAGGTCGCTCCAAGATGAGATGGAGAGCTCATGAGACGGTCGATTCCAGTAGATCGGGAACCATGTCCTCAATCGAGACTCATTGAGCGAACGCTCGCCGGCAAGACGCCTGAATCTCATCCTCCGAAAAAACTCCATACGGAAAGCAGTAGTTCGGGTTGCTAACTCGGCTTCAAATGCGCTGCTCGGAGCAGGCCGAAAAATCTTGAGCTGAGTCTCCGCAGGTGAATTTATTGCAAGACCATTGACATCGCTTCACTGTAATTGGTCTTTCGCTTGGCATCTTCCTGAGTTACTATTTTTCTGGATTTCGAAGAGCGGGCGAGGGAACGCTACACAGATATAATTTCTAAGAGGCCCTGCCGAGCGCTCTGCTGCTGGGAAACGCTCGTTCCGACGTTTCCGAGTGAACTTGTACGAGTGCCCTTTTAGAAACTTTCTCTACGGCACTATTTAGCCGACCGAAAGGCGTCGGTGATTTCGCGAACATCGGCTGCCGATCGAGAATCGCCACTCTAGTCCGCATTGGAGCTTTCGAGAATCTGGCAAGACGGGCATTAAAATTCGGCAAATCGGTACAAAGCGACGGTAAATCAAATATTGGCGTGAGTCAAATATTCTCGCGATTCTCGAGCTCCGAGTTCATGATGATGTCTCCTTCGAGTCACTATCTCAAGATTCGGTCAGAAAATTCACATTATCGGCAGATTCCGTCAGGGTCGGACTGCGGATGGTGCACTGACCCACACGAACGACAGAGATTTGAGCGGGGAAGTGAGACGCAGAAATTGGCGGATTTCAGGCGTCAGGAAATGAGGCAGAAAATTTTCACAGATTGCTCTCGGGGAAATTCTCGAGCGTGAATTCCCTTGTCTATCAGCCGAAACCATCGAGTCGTTCAGGTGGCTTGAGAAGCCACGGCAATTGTATTGTAAGATGAATCAAGCAGCGCTTCGCCATCGTCAATAAATCTGGTATACCTCTACGGATACTGAGGGTGGACCGGCACAGGAGCAGTGATTGTCAGGTGGTCACGAATTCACTGATGATGCCATAATGCGACCGACGTCGACAACCCAATCGGACAGATACATGTCAGAAAAGTCGGGTGTAATTTCGATCGGTGTCAGGGGCCGATTTGATGGTGCGTCATCGCGGCATCAGTCTCTCGAGTCCGTCTCTTCCCCGATCGTAGCTCAAAGGGAGAATTCCCTCGATTATCTGATACAGGTCTCTCTGGAACCGTGCCTGGGACACCTAGTATTGGGGAATCCTCGGACTTGAGTTCCAAAAATCATCTAAGCTCTTCCTCGTCGGCGCAGCACACAACGCGTACCTCCGGACATCGACGGGATCGGAACCTCGAGAATCGTCGGGCTCCTGTCTCGTGTGCGCACTAGGCCTTCCAAAAATCCGCAAAATTTTAAATCCGCGGATCTCGGATCCGCGGATCTGTCAAGCTTGGATCCGCGGATAAAATCCGCATATCGCGGATTTCCCGTCAAGTGCGAAAATGCTCGGAGATACTTGAAACTGCCCGAGGCGCATGATATTCCACCGTGAATGATCTAGGAGACGGGCATGTCCATCGAGTTTTAGAGCTCCCGAAGCTTTGTCTGATGTTGCAAATTGCAATCTTCTTGAGATGTCAAGAGTGAGCTCCATAGGTCTTGAAATCATGAGGGTGAGCGAAGAAATACGGACGTCGAATCGGATATACACAATTTTACTTTATGACCACGTACTTTCATCAAGTATATCACAAGGTCGAGTTACGATTATGGGAATTCGAGGAAGCGCTACCATCCGGCTTCGAATGCCTTTTTGAGCATGAAGATATCATCTAACGTTTCGGCTTTGAGACTGACACGATTCTCGCCCAAGACGTGTCGCAGTACACTGAAATCCCTTTCGGGTTGTACAGATGTTGGCGGGATCGTTTTCAATATCGCGCG